CCTTATCAGGACACTATCTGAGGTTTATCCAGTCGCTTATCGCAGTTGCCGGACACAGCCTAATACTTAGCTTCTTCTACCCCGGCTCGGATATCGGCGGGTGGGGAAATCACCCGCTCTAAGGGCCGATGCCAACCGGCCTCCGCATTCCCAGCATCCCTCGAGTTAAGAATAACGCCCTTCTATCATGAGGAGAGGCCATCGCATTTCCTGAACACCCAGGGCTGGCCCTCCTTTCATAAGCTACTCCCAACATGCAGTCATTGCGGTCAACTCGCTTTTTGCGCTCTTCCCAGTCGCTGTCCAAGGTCCCACGGCGATGGAGCAATTCTATATCCCAGCGTCCTGGATCGGATCGGTAAGGTCACTCACAAAAGCCTAGCTCAGATGATAGGGAACATTTAGCAAGACTGACAATAGTAGTGTTCGATTTCCAGGCGCGATCAATAGCAAATTTACCACCGACATGACCTTCATCAATCCTACCGAAATGTCCAATATCCCTACGTACCGAGTCATGGACTCCGACGGAGTACTCGTCGATAAGTCGCGCAAGTCCATCGATGTGCCAAAGGAGGAAATTTTGACATGGTACAAGAACATGTTGACAGGTTAGAAACATCCCATATTATCATGCTACTTCGTGATCTGACGGCATCTAGTAAGTGTCATGGACGTCATCATGTTCGAAGCGCAACGGCAGGGTCGACTGAGCTTCTATATGGTATGCTCAGAACCATCACTACCTCAATAATATTGAAGTCTGACCTCGTTAGGTATCTGCCGGTGAAGAAGGAATCAGCGTTGGATCCGCCGCAGCCTTAACCCCCGACGACGTAGTATTCGCCCAGTACCGCGAAGCAGGCGTCTTCCAACAACGCGGCTTCACTCTGAAAGACTTTATGAGCCAACTGTTTGCGAATAGATTTGATAACAGTAAAGGCCGTAACATGCCCGTTCATTATGGCTGCAACTATCCCCGAACAGTTCGTCCCCTCCACACGACCTGCCCAACCGCATTCTAACCATATATCTAGCACACAATCTCCTCCCCCCTTGCAACCCAAATCCCTCAAGCCTCCGGTGCTGCATACGCTCTAAAGTTACAATCACTACAGAACCCCGATACCCCGGCGCGAATTGTAGCCTGCTATTTCGGCGAAGGAGCCGCCAGCGAAGGCGACTTCCACGCGGGCTTGAATATAGCCGCGACGCGGTCCTGTCCCGTGGTATTCATCTGCCGCAACAATGGATATGCAATTTCCACCCCTACACTAGAACAATACAGGGGTGATGGTATCGCCAGCCGTGGTGTTGGCTACGGCATTGACACCATTCGGGTGGACGGTAACGACATATTCGCGGTCTACGAGGCAATGCGTGAAGCTCGTCGTCTCGCCCTTCAAGATGGAGGTAAACCTGTCCTCATAGAAGCAATGAGCTACCGTGTATCGCATCACAGCACCAGTGATGATAGCTTTGCGTATCGGGCAAGGGTAGAAGTCGAGGACTGGAAACGTCGCGATAACCCGATTATCCGGTTGCGGAAGTGGTTGGAAAATGAGGGTCACTGGAGCGAGGATCTAGAACGTGAAACGCGTGATAAGATCCGGAAAGAGGTGCTCAGGGAGTTTGGAGAGGCAGAGCGGGAGAAGAAGCCCCCGTTGAGGGAAGCATTTGAGGGGGTCTACGACGAGTTGACGGAGGAGGCGGAGGCTCAAATGAAGGAGTTGAAGAGGATACTGGAGACATATCCTGAGGAATATGATTTGCATCAGTTCCAAGATGGAGTGAATGGATTATGATAGACCTGTGGTCCTGGTCGACGCTTCTTGTCAGCCCAAGTCATGAGGAACCTACGTGGCAGTGCTTTCTTTTATGTTTATAGCCGTAAAGCCCGATCAGCATATAGAGGAAGATTCATTAGGCTTCTCCATGATACAATTTGTGATATGAATGCCTACTCACCAAGAGATCACACATGGCGCAAGGCGGCCTTTGCGCGAAGTAAGAAGTGATTAGGATGGTCACACAAGTTTCCAGGCTGCATCTGATGCACTACCACGCTGCCATCTTTCCGGGTGCACGATCGAATAGAGGAACCCTTTCTCCCGGTGCGTCTGATCGACACCTTCCTCGGACATTTCAGGAGGCCGTCTCTACTAGGTCCGAAGGAGAACAAGGCCTTGGCCCGCCGTCAGACACAGTAGACACACCAGAGTGCACTTTTCTGCATGGAATACATGTCGTCAAGATACATTTTCAGCTGAAAACCTGTCCAGGCAACCAACTAAAGCTCAGTTTCTATCTGACGTTACTTATTACCAACCAGATGCGAAAACAAAGGTACTTCAGCAGTAACCCTCATCTAATCGCCTACATGTCTACATATGTACAGAGATTTTCCGAGCCCCTTCCAAGCTCGAAACCAGCGGAATGACCAGCCCTCACGAACAGAATCTGCTGCGTTGCCCTTCCAAAGTCCCATGACATTCTACCATGAACGTGGCTGGCTTTTCCACCCCGGGGTATCTCATTCATCAGAGTCGATAGGATGGATTTCAAGGCACCACTGACGTTTTATGAGGGTTGAGTCAGCGGATGATGTGATCAAACCAGAGCATTTTCAGGAAAAAAGTGCTGTAAGCCGTCTGCTCCTGGCAGACATGCATGAGAAGGAAGATGGTATTGTAAAGGTCAAAAATCGAGGTGAGAGGCTGAATCCACGTCGCTAACCCATGGATGGATACATGGTTCATCTATAAGGTAGGGGAGCGAAGGCGTGGTCGACGTGACGAGATCGATGTGGCATGCGACAAGTGTAGCTGTCTAGAGATAACGTCGGTTCCGGTAGGTGGGACTGGCTGAGGAAACTCTGGTAAAGTAAGTAGCGGTTGCGAAGGGGCGTATTGTGATCTTGATTTTCCCCTTGGTTCTTCGATAGTTGTGAGACCAAATTGATATGAGTACCGGAAGGATGTACTCGACCTGGGAAAGCTGTTGATGCCACCGCCACGCAGGCAGCAGCGGCGGGGAAAGGGAAAGCCAAGGGGTTGCAACAGACTAGGGACGACGGTCAGTCCCAGTGAATTAATGGAGTCATTATGACTAACTACAGAGACAAAAGGGCAAAAAGCTCATGATTGGATGGAGAGACTGGGAGAGTGTAAGCAGACAGATACACTCAATGAGACCAGACCTCTGATCATCCTCCACCCCTAAGTTTCACTCTCTAGAATTGTCCCTCCTGTTAATTTAATCGTCTAGCTTTCGTACTGTCGGGATCAATAGAACGCGGCAGGCTTGGTAGCTGGACATGCTACCCTAGCTCGAGCTGCGAGACACAATACAGACTTGTTGCCGGAAAGCACACATTACGGATTACCTGGTTACAAGAGTGTGACTAGCTTACGAACTCACTTCTGCATGGGGAAATTGCTGGTCGGCTATACTTCCTCTTGAACCAAGAAGGCGAGTAGAGAGAGAGAAAAGTAAAGGAAAGACCCGTGCCCGTGGCGTGCATATACGGACAAGATTGGACGCAGTCCAAGTTCACAAACGGGAGAGGAGAAATGGCAGCTGCCATGGATCGACAGCATGATTGACAACATGGTTGCTGATCTATCATAGTTTGCGCTCTTACCTCCTCCGGGGTATCTATACCCATTTTTACACCGTTCAATACTTCTGAGACCTATACGAGGAGCGTGGAAACTATCTCCTCATGCTCATGTCCGCTCATCCTTTTCCTCATTCGGTCTCGTTTATCTGGGGGCCTGGAGCTTGTTTCAGACAGTGCTGGATGATGAAGAACCATTCGATGTATCACACGGAAACACAGGTCAGCCCACAGGGATTACCACAAACGCCTGTCGAGCCTTGTCGAGACGGGAAGCTGCTTGTCCATGATACTACAGTCCGGTGAAACCCGCGATACCTTTAATCCGCGTGGCGTCTGCCTCCCATACACACGCCATAATATAAGAGGGCGATCCGGTCAGTATTTTGAGAGCAGTATTCCAGCCAGCCCGTATTCTTGTTGGAAACTTTCTTCGGAGAGCGTCTTGCAGACCACGATGGGACGGGAACAAGGGCATCCCTGTTGGTGAAGTGTAGTATCTGCAACTCCAACCTTCACAATCACCGCCCCCTGAATCAATAGTTGTAACCTAGAGAGTAAGAGTATTATAGGATGATTGAGCCACTATGGAGGTATCAGCAGACGGGAACATCAGCCACCTCGCTTCATCTCAACGCATCCTTCCTAGCAGACAAGGCAATCATTGGTTCAGTGCCAGGAGTTTATTCCCCTGCCATTTTTACCTGCAGTCAGTTTTGAAATGTGATGGTGATACCATTCGCTCAGTTCAAAATCGCCCCGTCGCCAGCGTCCTAATTGACAATGGACTTTGGCATTTCCGAAACCGGATTACCACTTCATGAACACTTTAAACGTGCTCACTCAGAGTCCCCTCTAACCCTTTGCATGAGGTGAAGCGTTCTATCGAAGTATGAGGGGTTTCAGTCTGCAGAGAAGCAAACTGATACAACTTGTCAGATATGCTAAGCTGACGGGAGGGCTTTACTAGTTTAACAGCAGTAATATGTCCCGACGAATGGATTAGTGGCTTCCATACTGAGTGTTTGGCGGTCGTGACCGGATTGGTCACAATAAAAAAATAAAATAATAGAATCGAAGTTAGTCACTTAGGGTAGTCAGATGTCCTGGTACCGTTGCTTTGTATCCTGTGTTCCATGGAAATGAGAAGGTAACTAGAATCCACAAGCATAACAATAGATCGACAATAAGGTCTATACTTGAAGCATCATAAGTTCCCGTACAGATAGTTGGCCGAACTCGCATATTAGTAAATCTACGGATAGCCGGAGTTACGTAGGTAAATATAAAAAACAACATCAATCAAAGAAATAAATACTATGAAAAAGAGGAGAACCGATTGTAGAACGACGATAGCAACCGTTAAAATGAGTCACGCCGTTCACTGCCGCCAGAATGACTTCCTCAGAGGCGGCAACTGCTCTCCCAGAGGCACCTTTTCTTTCTTAGAGCCGCCAGTCTTTGCGCCCCGTTTTCCTGCTCCCTTGGCTGGCGTTCCCTTTGTTGTTTCCACTGCTTTTGCTGCACCGCCTGCAGACCCAGTTCGTGAGGCCTGCCTCGTCCTCGGTATCCTCCTCTCCACCAACACGTCCGCCTTGAAAATTCGGTGATGAGGGATTTTGTGACGGGGGCCGAAAGATCTCATATCGGTATAGGACAGGCTCGGGCGAGTAACGACCAGAACCCGCCCCCCCGCGAGAGGTGCGAATCTCGGCGTGCGGTGATAACTGGTGAAGTGGTGCGAATGGGGTGTCATAGTTTCTGAATCATAGTGGAAAGCGGCGGGCAGATCGGGAAGCCGGTCGACGTTGCTGTTGCCGTACATTCCACCCTCAGTGTAGGTGATATAATCCGCGGCGGACTCGAGAAGCGCGTGAAGGGCGCTGTTACGCTGAGTGATCTTTGCCTCATCCTGCAGCGGGCTGAGAAGAAGTTGGAAAACCCGGCGCTCAAGCAACTCCTCGGTAAGGTCTTTGAGGATTATCGGGCGCCGGGCGTTCGTGTCCTTCGACAGCTTTGTGTTAGGTATGTCGCTCATGCTGCGGGAGCTAGCTTCGGTGACAGTGATTGATTTCCACCAAGCTGCGTTGAAGGCGTCTGTTTCCCGGAATCTATCGTAAAAATATTGAAGCCTTTGGTGGAACTGAGAATCGCCCTTGGCATCTGTGGGACTGATCTTTCCATCCACAAACCAGAAAGGGGAGTCGATGAATTTGGTAAAGATGTACTGGTAGAGCATGGTAGCAGCTAAAACAGGGCCCATATGCTCTTGAGTGGCAGGGGGGAGGAGAGCATGAATGGTTTTCCAATCCTCCTGTACACAGTAGCCATCAAGGCTTTCAATGATGGCCTGCTTGTCAGTCCGTGGAAGATCTGACAATGAGTCACATCGTGTCCAAGAGTAAGCCCAACCGTGAATAGCAGATTCTAGGAACTCAAAGTTCTCATGGACAAGATCGGGAATGCATCGACGGAGGGATGGATCGAGCTTCATGGCGTTGCAATGCCTCAAGACATCATGGTATTCTTCGCGCGTAATGAAAAAAGAATCGCAACCGTAGACTCGCTCCGACCTTGGTGTCTCGGACTCATCCTGAGAGGACAACTGGTCTGTTTTAGGCTCGTCAGGCTCCTCAGACCGTCTGGCAGTGACCATGTTTGTCGGATAGAAGGCGGAAGGGACGAATACTATTGAGACAATGGGACACGTTGAATGGGGCAATGCAGCGCTGGCTTGACTTAACAGATATAATAGAGGCAAGAGGGATGAGAGTTGAGAAGAAGAAGTAGGAAGACTGATCGAAGTGTGCATACATGATCTGTTGGGAATCCAAGTCATTCGTATTCAGTGGATCCTTGCTCATTATACGTTTCCTCTAACTCTGCTCTTCATAAACCTAGTTTTTGTCTGTTTTCTTTATTCTTTCTCTTCGTTTTTGGTTGTGGTTTTCTGTGTTTTTTTAATTCTATTTCTATTTTAAGTCAATTCTTTTTTCCTTCCAAATGTCTCTTTCTCCCTCCCTTTATGCTTTACTCTTGGTATAACTCCCGTACAACGCTTTCTATTCCCTCAGCCACCTATCTTATTTACCTTCGGCACTCCGTATCTTCCCATTTTATCCTTCATCCTCTTATTTATTTTAGTGAAGTTTCTTTCCCCCCCAATTTTTTTTTTTTTTTTTTTTTTCATTCTCGCCTAGTCTATTTCCCCTCACCCCAATATCGTCTTCAAACCTAGTTTCCTTTTAGGTTTCGCCGGGAGGAATCAGGTAGCACATGATGAATGGGGCATAGTTGGGCGTGATTTTTCCTTTTTTTATATGTTCATATACTCTTATATATATATATATATATTTGTATATTCATTTTTATTTTTCCTTTATTTTTTCTTTTTTTTCTTTTGTCTTGTATTTAGTTTACATCAAATTTTATTCAATTTTATTCTAAGAAGTTGACAGAGAATGTGCGTATGTGAGTTAGGCACACTAACTTTCTCATTTCCGAGAAGAGAGACAGAGAAATTAAAATTCGGGGGAAAGGGATGAAGAGAGACACGGCGAGTTAGGTGAATCTATTCGATACTTATTTATCCGTGTAAGAGAGCAGATATAAAAGGCACGGATTTGGCCTCCCCGCTGCTTACATGACTCCATGAAATTGCATACTTTGCTAACCTGATTCATCTCCACCTTGGTTTTGTCCATGTACCCTCTCACTTTGATACTTACCATATTCCCATCGTTTACTGCGTTTTTATCTTTCTTTCTTTCTTTCTTTTTCCCCCTTTTTTTTAATTAATTATTTTTTCCGCTACATGATGAACAACGAGGAGCGCCTGGTTGTTGGCGTGGACATAGGGACCACAAAAACGGGCAAGTGACTGCCGTTCCCTTTGACCATTACTTCCCCTTTGTTTCCTTTCTTTCAGTCAAGTCACGGCGCTAATTTGGCCGTGCTTTAGTGGTGACCTATTACTACCCCACCAAGGAAAAAGTCCTTGAGTGGCGCCCCGGGGGCAACGAGTCCGCCATCATCCCAACGCTGTTGGCTTATCGCCCCGGAGGTGAACGTACTTGGGGCCATGGTGTAGATCAGAGCGACACACACCTAATTATGATGAAGCTGAGAATTGTCGGGTCCCCCAATATAGACTCGGTAGACCAGAGAGTTATCTCTGACAAGGGCAACTTGCCCGGAGACAACAGGAACGAAGTACCGACGCAAAGGTCCATAGCCGACTTCCTCAGATGCCTCCGCATCGCATTTCGTGATGATCGCATAGTCTCGGAATCCATCGAAGTCAGGCGACTACCCCAAATTGACTGGCATTTTGCGATGCCCAACACATGGAAGGAGGAGGGAGAAATTGTGATGCGTGCTGCCATCGAGGAGGCTGGCTTCCAGCACGGGAATGACAACGCTCGCATATTCTACATGTCAGAGGCGAAAGCCGCGGCAATCGGAGCGGCGGATCAACTCCGCGAAGGGGACATGCAGGTAAGCAGTAGTAGCATATATCAATAAACGGACATCAACTTACTTGCTGATCTTGTTTGGCACAGGTGGGAGACTCCGTGCTTGTCTGCGATCTAGGGGGGATTACTAGCGTAAGCCAATTCTTTCTGTTCCCAACCGGATTGAAGATTGGGAATCCATTGCTCTGACGTACAAGACAAGGACTTCACCAAATTCGAAGTGCTCGCGATGGATGCTGACGAGCCGCGGAATGTGAATTTCCACCCAGTCAAAGAGGAGAGCACAGCTGAGAATGCCAGTCATATGGTTGAGACGAACTTGATGGCACACATCTGTGCTCAATTGGAGTTGCGCCAGGGACCGGCTATCAACCGCAAGATTCGACACGGCGCCGTTTTGGCCAAGCATCAATTCACCGGCGATAATGATCTGCCGATTTTTATCCCGGGTCTTACGAGAACCAGGAACCCAAACGCGCGGAATGATTGTTACAATCCGGTGACCGGTTTCTTCAAGTTCACTAAAGATTCGCTCTTGGACGCCTTCAAGCTTGTCGTGGGGTCCATCATTGAGAGGCTCACGAACCACATCAATGATGGAGTCAACAGGATTGTGATTGTGGGTGGGTTCAGCAAGTCTCCTTATCTGAGAAAACGAGTCAAGGAGGTTTTGGAGGAATTCAATGAAGACAAACGGCCAAAAGTTCACTATCTACCTGGTAATGAAGCGTATGTGTCATCCCCCATTTTGCAACGTAGCCATCGATCCTAACATTCACTCACAGCATAATCGCCGTGTCGTATGGATTAACTTTGAAGGGAATAACAATTTCAAACCCCGTGCAGTACCACGGCCCCTGGGGATACAAAATCAGCTGCCCGGTCATCGAGGTGTTGGCAGCGACGGGGCTCACCTTTTCAAGGCGTTATGATTTCCCTATTTTCAATCCAGTACGCTCCATTCTAACCCTACCCCGATGACTGCTTTTTCATAACCCTTTCTTTCTGCAGAACGAGCAGAACCTCCAGGAAGGGAAGACGCCGTTCAGACTGAGTGTGGAACGAGGGCAACGTGTAGGAGATGTTTATGTCCATCGCTTTAAAGAAACGTCAGACGGTCGGCCTAACCTATTCGCACATTTATTGACCACAGACGTATAAACTAACATCGTTCAGACGCTGAATTTGTGGCCCAAATTGACCTCACGATCCCCGACGATGCCCCCCGCGCCGAATACCACGAAAGAGGAGTCGTAGTCTACTTCTACAACCTCTACTTGTTATGGCATTTTATCGAAGGAGTTGGCCTCAAAATGAAATTGCAGGTGGCGGTTCGAAGCAATGATAGGGAGGAGACAGTGGGGGTGGTGGTGGGCTCCAGCAGCCATACCGTGGCTGAAATGGTTCCATGGCGAAGAAAGGACTGACGATTCATTCTGGCGTCTTTCCTATTTCCTTCCTTGGCTACCTCACGGTGTGGGGTGCAAACTTTTCCGTTTCTTTCTCTCGCCCCTTCTAATTCTCTGTTGAGCTTTTCTTTATCCCTATGCTCTATCCTCCCGGCCCCTCTCCTCATCTATTTGATTTTGTTTCATCTTACCTCATTCATTTAATGTCTAATGTTTAATCATGTTTTCATTCATTGCTGAACATGCTTTTATAACTCATTGCACTGCCTATGTGGGGTTGGTGCAATTCTTTTCGGGTATCTTCATTATGACTTTTGGTGGCCAAAATTGACGTGATCATCTATGTATCTAGAGTGGATAGCATTTCCTCTTACTCGAAGCTAGAGTATATATGGCAGCAATATAAATTAGATTGAAAGGTATCTCTCATCAGCTGATTATATGGATGTGATCTCTCAATTCTAGACTAGTAATCAGCGCATCGATAGGTTATAGACCCAGAAGCAAATGGCCCCTTACTAAAATACATTTAGATAAGACAGAACCTACAAGATCCACATACGAGCCTATACATAGTCAACCTCCACAGCCTCTAGTTCAAAGAGGCTACGTCGAAACGAATTTGCTCTGTCAGCTGGTCGATAGACATGATCTGACATTATTTTTGTCTGGCAGCCAGCAAGACAGCCTTCGATAAGTAGGTTTTGATGCTATTTTGGATTCTCTACAATTTTGCCATATCAAAGGCAAAAATTCTCTATGCTCTGAACATTGTTACTTGAAAAGATAAGACTTATAATCGTAGGTGATATTGGTACGTTTGTGTATGTTGTCAGCTATACCATTTTACTTTAGGCGATACGATAATGCTGGGGACTCAGTCTGACTCCTTGAGAGAAGCAGTCTTTTACCATCCTTTATGAAGTACCAAGTGTACTCTGTTCGTGATATAGTGCTGTTGCTACCTGTTGGGATTGCTAATTGGTGGAGAGTACATCGATGATAATCATCGGAACGGGGGTCGGGGATTTTCATTCGACCCGCCGCCCTGAAAGTAGTTGTGTAGTATACCAGGTATGGGGACCGTACTTTTTAGATGTTTGAAGATGTTTTGACATTCGATGTGTCAATATAACCAAGTACATGGGTATCACGCAACAGGATAGGGAGTTGATTGAAATTCAGCTCGAAACAGGATTGTGAGGATGTCGCTCGAAACAAAGGAAATATAATACAAAATTTTCCCACCACCCACCCTGAGAGCCAGTATATGGCTTGCTCAACTGAGGTAGTAACAGTGAGAACAAGCAGAGAAAAAAAAATTGAAAAGTACAAAAGTTCCCACCACCCGCCCTGAAAGAGCCGATATAGGGCTCTCTCAACCGAGGTAGTAATGAAGAGAGAAAATATAGAAACGAAGAAATGATATGAAAGTTTCCCACCACCCAACCCTGGGAGAGCCAGTATATGGCTCGCCCAACTGCAGTAGTGACAGAAAGGAGAATAGAGGAAGATACAAATAAAGGGAAAATAATTGGAGTCTAAGAGGCATAGAAAGAGAGAGTAACACCGTCGAAAGGAGATGAGGAAAGAGAGGTACAGCAGGAAAGGCAGTAGAGTGGGGAGAAGTTGGGCGGAAAGGATTTAGTAATCCACGTAATTAACTTCTCTCAACTTGCCAGCCCATCTGATTTCTTTCAGAGTCTTTTCAAGTCTTATAACTTCTCTCCTCACTCCTATCCAGCCAGTCTGGCGAGGGAATATCCAACCCGCACGTTCAATTATCTCTATATCAACTAGTTGATTGAGACGATTTATTAGCGTTTTGCATGTCTCGTAGTTTGAGACATAGTCAGCTTCCAGCTGGAGAACGATGTTGTGTCGGTGTTCGGAAGTTGGGCTCGTGGAGGCAGTAAAGATAATCTCTGCATCTGTGAGAAGGATCTCGTGATCCCAAATGAGATAGCTGATATAGGTGTCAAGATGACGCAAGAGGGAGGTATAGATTGGAAGAGTGTTGACTTTGTGGTTCTGGGTGTAGGTCGATAGAGTGTCGAGGGCAGAAGCAAGAAGTGGAAGAAGAGTAGAGCTGTCGGACGTGCTGGTAGTTCTGGTAAAGGAGAGTGTGTGGAGGATGGTATTGAGGGCTGGATCTTGGTCTTCGACCAGAATTTGAGAAGTAGATTCCGTGATGTGAGAGATAGACAATTCTTCATTTTCATCCTCTTCAGTGTTGGCGAAAAGTCGTGTTAGGGCTGAGGATAAATCGTGCTGGGCTCTGGTTTTGCCCTTATCCTCGCCCTTGCGAGGGTGGATGATGCGATTCAAGGACTTGAAGGAGTGGCGGAAATTGTTGTATAAAAGGATAGGAGCCATCTTGTAGAATTTCAAGATGGATACTGATGTTTAGTTGAGTAGGTGGAGGGAGAGTAGAGTTTCCTGTACAAAGGAGCTCTTTAGGTAACTCAGCGTCTGAGATGTTTCAGGCGAGAATATAGTAGGTTGTATGGTCTCCAGTGGATTATCTGATGAAATGGGTGGCTGTGTGGTTGTAGTATGAAGCAATAAACTTGCTAGTATGGTAGATAAATAGGTCGAAACGTTCAGATAATGAATGTCGAATTCAATGTTCAAACTTGTAGAAGGTATACTCGGCAATCAGAACAATAGAAATTGAAAATAGATGATATAGTTCTTCAACTCAAGGATTTTCCTGTCCATGGATCATTATGATCCAAAGGCTTAATATAGACTTTGACGACATACTGACTCGGCAACTAATTGGCCATTTCGGTTCCTGCCAGGGACTATAAGCGTAGTGATATCATCACCAGCAGCAATAGGAGTCATTTGGTTAGATAGACCACATGAAGAATAGCAACAGTGGCTGTACGAAGCCGGAAGATTTCTCCGGAGCTCGCTCACTTCGTATTTATGTTGATAGAAGCTACCAGAATGAAGATTGCATCTTTTCCAGTGCTCTGCTTTGGGGGGTTCCTAAGGGCATCGAGGTCATGGTCATTAGGACTTGCGACTAGCTAGACATTTCAAGCTGGCTCCTATGGTGCCTTTTCCGAATGAAAGCTATATCAGCTTTGCCCATGGCCGTCGAAGAAGATAGGAAGCTGTAAGCATAAAATGATACATTCTCGTTTGCTCTCGTCCCTATATCAGCCCACCGTATCAGGTTTTATATGGATGTTTCTGATTCTTAGTGGCTGAGATTACTGCGACACGCGTGTGTATTTCCTAGATACTCTTGGGATTTACGCCCGTTCAAAATTTGTCATGAACCAGATAGGTGATGTCAATGACAGGTATAGCAGACACTGGAGTCAACCAGTAACAGTATGTCCAGTCCAAATCTATCATGGCAAACACAACACTCAGAAAGATTTGTCAATTGTAGGAACTCGACTTTGAATGTGCACAATGCAGAATGCTAGTCTGTTGGCATTGCGTTGATAATGCAGCCTTCGGTGTCGAGCATACAAATACTCTCATAGGGCTAAGATTCATATCAAATTATTGACTTCCTTGTGCTAAGAATTGTTAATGGGGTAAAAGTTCGAAGATGAAGCAATAGTCTGAGTAATACCCATTCTATTTCATGGTCTTCCAGCTCGTAAATTCCATTACTCCGTTACTGACCATGCAGGCCCTTGGCCATCTCAAGAAGCGGAACGCCTTTTATTTTCATTAACTCGCCAAAGGAATCATACAGGATGATGTGAAGTCATGCTTATGGGAATAAGCCGGTCGCTGGGACAAGTCGTAGCATTCCCCTCCATGGCAGCGAGGTAAAATGTCTTCTGTGGCTATTTATTCCATCTCAGCGAGGCTACTGGTAGCGAAGTTTGTCCAACCATTTTCAAGTATGGCGTGTTAATCCACATATCGATATTATGTGATGACGCGAAAAGAATTTTCACGGAAGACTCAGCTGAAATTGCCGTGCGACGAGATATATGGAACACTTCTTGCCAAAGGAAAACATCTTCGGAGCCACTGTTGTGGGCGTGAGCGAAGACTCCATAGCACAAGCAGGTCTTGCCTGGCGCTATCCATTCAGAGAAGACGTATTGGAACGTCCGCCATGAACGTTCGCTATCATTCTACTCTGCAATGATCTTCTGGGAACATGGAAGAAACAATCACTTAAGCTTATTGCGCTGCAACGCACGCACAGTGACAACAGCCCGGGTCTGATTGCAGGCTTTTGTTGTTCAGTCTTGTACCATCTCTGACGGCATGCCAGATGATTCACTGTTGTAGTCCAGATTGAGTTGAGATGTATCGTCCCGAGTGGATGGGAGGCTCACGAGAATTCAGCGGCCCACGCACGCATTTCAAGGCCGGAGGTACTTGGAAAGGAACTGAGAAAGCCCCTGCTCAAGCCCTGAAGTTAAGGCACGCCTCGAAAATTCTTTAGGCACACCTTTAATGATCTCAGGGACCTTTTATACTACCACGAGTGCATAGCTTGCTCCTGGAACCCCCTTCGTCAGACAGGAAATAAGATGTTATTAAGGTGGCATCTAACAAGGCATATGCGACGTTTGGATGCCGCGTAATTTGGGCAGGTTGGATACGAACTTGCTTCTTACATTTAAGTACATTATTATAGTTATATCACCCTTCTACAATGACGTGATATGTTCTGGATGAGTACACAGATATAACATGATAACAGGATGGTATATATCATCCACGTTGTTTGTTGGGTTGTGATGATATTATGTACCTGTCCCGAATTTGGTATATATAATAATGTTTGTCTGATTCAACTTTCTTCATCAGTATCACCTAAGATGACGCATTCTGTACGTGTAAGTGCCTAGGCATCATTAAACATATCATATAAGAGTGGGTTTCAAACTTGATGATAAGCCTTGCATAATACTCCAGATTCATGTCATCGTCATTTTTACGCATACCAAGGCTGCAGAACATGAGCCTTCAACTCAGCCCCTGTACCGTGGATCAGACATCGTGCACTAGGTAACATACTTTACATG